AGCTAAACTAGCCCTTTTAAACTCGCTCTTATTAATATTTCGACCACCCTTCTGATGGCGAACTTCTTTATTGGCTAAATTTATGGCTCTCTGAGCTAAAAAATGAGAAACGAAGACCAAGATGGGATCTTTTGACAATCCCAGTCACTATCCCATCTATCCACCGTCTCGTCATCAAGCTTGCCTCTAATCAAATTAAAAATAAACAAGTAAAAAAGCTACAGTCGGGTGTCCCGACTTTGAAATACTCTGCGTCTATGTGAGTGTATGTATGCATATGCTCGTATATTCGTGTCTGTGTAAACATGAGCAGCGCTGCAGCAGCAAATATATTTATGGCTATAACTTCTTGTTAAATTGGTCTTCCATAGTGAAACTTGGCATACGGACACATAATAACCAACTGGGGGTATTTCCAAAATTTTAGTTCGAAATTCCAAGAATTACGGGAGTTAGACAAAATTGCGATTTGCTTGGGAGAGGGGGGAGGGAGGGAAATTTCAAAATATGCATGTTCTGCGTATTCACATAAGGCATCTGGGACTAAAATTTGGTATTCCTAGGTCTTATAGTCTCCGAGATATAGGCGATTATACGAATGGAAAATCGGGAAAACCCCCATAGGGGGGAAGTGGGGGGAAAATCAAAAAAATAATACATTTTCAGCTCCCGCAAACCTAATATACTCTTGTACATTTTATGTACAGAGTATAAAAAGTTTAATAGGTCTGCTTCTTCACTTATCGACCGAAGTGCCATAAGTTGCAAATTGACGCTATCTATAAGCCCTCTTAACGACTCGGAATCAGCTTGCTTGATGCGTTTTAAGTTAAATAACTCATTTATATGACACTGCGCAATAATGGCCTTATTGTCGAACCTATCCTGCAATAATCGCAATGCCTCTTTTTAATTGGCTCCTGATAACTCCAGGCAATCTATTGTGCTCAGAGGAACTGCACTTAACGAAGCTCGCAAATGTATCATTTTCGACAAGTCCTCCAATTCTGAATCCGACCCTACAAGTGTGCTAAACGTATTAAACCAACTTGTCCACTCAGTGAATTTTCCAGAAAATTGTGGTATTTGAATAGCCGGCAGCTTAGTCGATCGTGTAATAGCTGTGCTGTTTGGGATGTCTGCATCTGACTGGCGTCGTCCACGATGACTCATGCGACTTAGTAACTTTGCCTTTATTTCGCAATATAGCTCCTCAGCCTCGAAACGACACTGTGATTATAAAGAATCGTTAGTCTCTTGCTCAATTTTAGCTTGAATATCGCAAAGCTGACTAAAATTAGCTTCTACTAAACTCAATCTTGCCTCCAAGTCAGCAGCGGTCATGGACGCATTGTGCTTGGCAACATAACCTTTATTTCTATTAAGAGAATTCATTAGACTTCTTTAGTTCTTTTAGGTGCCATTTTGCAAACCTTGCCAAGTCTGTAGATACAACGCCTAAGTCAAACGTCTACACTTGTTTGCTACTTAAATAGCCAAATTATTTAATGCACCTAGTTAAGGCGCGATCTAAGTTCGATCGAATGAACACGCTACTAATATAACGAAATTATGTTCAAGGTACACTTTTACCTCATACGAACAAATTATTGAATGCACCTAGTCAATGTGCAATATACGTTCGATTAAATGAACACGCTACTAAAATAACGAAATTATGTTCAAGGTACACTTTTACCTTATACGAACAAATTATTAAATGCCCCTAGTTAAGGCGCGATCTAAGTTCGATTAAATGAACACGCTACTAAAATAACGAAGTTTATGTTTAAAGTACAACTTTACTTCATGCACCGCAGCTTTATGTATGTACATATGTATGTATGCGTCGGTGATAAAATTCCACTTGCATTCGTTCACATGCATATGTACATATGTATATACTATGCTGCCTGTAAAAGTTTGCCGCTATGCCTGTATGTATATGTGTATGTGATTGTGATACTTTTTACCCATATACTTGCATTTAACTAAAGCCGATGCCGTTATAAGAAATTAATTAATTAATTGATTGCCTTACATTCGCCGAAGTTGAGTTTACAACATGTCTCTGCATAAAATATTTACTATAATGCACCAGTACAATACCTACTCACAATTAGACCTTAGAGCTGCCGCCGCCGTGCCTTGTCTCCAGAGATGTACACGCTAAAGCCAGTCTCCATGTAAAGCGATTGAGCTCCAATTATTGAGCTCCTGCCGGGTGTTGAACCTTCTCCTCAGATCCCTGCTCGGGCGCCAATGTTTCGGCCCAAATCTTCTGCCAGCTGTGTAGCTAATTCCCATAGAATTATCGAAGGCTGCTCCGAAGTATTTGGTTCCTATTTATTGTATTAATTTATTTCACCGCATGCATTGCGTGCTCTCTTCATGACAAAAGTATAGAATAGATAAAAAACATTCTTCTTCTTCTTAAATCTAATTGTAATCGATAGCCGATACATACAAATATCAATAGCGATACCAAATTCAATTAATTCATTAACTGCGCCTATGGCGCCAATATAAATTCAAATAATTCATTAATGCGCTTATGGCGCCAACACGCTATAAATCCCTTGACTTTTTTTTAAGATAGAAATTGTGCAAACAAACTATAATAAAAATTTGAGTATTTCCTAATTGTAAATTATATTTTGGGCGTGTTGTTCCATCAAATTTTCACGTATAAAAAAAAATTTGTTTCAAAACGAACACCCACAAAATTAAAATATGAAACGCGGCACTCGTGTCCACGCAGGTCAGCGATGTTCCACAAACAATAAAAACCACCGACTTTGCCCATCTCTAGTTGCGCTTATGAGTGTGTCACAGTGGAAGTGTATTTACACTTCCACCAAGTTACTGTGCATTTCTCTAGTACGGCTAGAATACTGATCATGTGTTTGGTGCCCTCAGTATAAATTGTATCAGGATTGCATTGAGTGGGTTCAGAAACAATTTCTTCTTTTTGCTCTTCGTGGTTTAAGCTGGGATCCTAATCTGCGATTACTATCCTACTCCTGTAGACTCCGTAGTATAGTTCTTGGTGTTTTGTTCCTCCACAAAGTGATTGTCGGAGATGTTGATTCCTCTATGCTTTTAGGTTGTATCAATTTTTCTGTTCCTTCTAGGCCAACAAGGAACTATCTGCCTCTTCTACGTAACAGATGCACTAGTGATTACGCCATGCATAATACTTTTCGAGTATTATGCGCTAATTATAATATTTTTCACTTTCTAATCTCAAGTGAGCTTTCTCCCCTCACTAAAATCTTATATTTTCAGCTATCCGGCAGAATCACTGATCACCACTGCTGTGAGTAGGGGCATAGCAGGCCGTTTGGCAATTAAAATTTCGCCACATACATACATACAAGCAGCTGTTCGTGTAGTTGCGTGCAAACGGTTGAAGTAGCCAAAGCAAAATGTGAGACACTAATGTGTGAATGTTCATTTGTACACATGTATGTACATACATACATACATATGTACAAAAGTACATTCGTCTTGCACTGACAGGGCAAGAAATGTTAATTAATTAAAAATGATTAACATTATAACATAAACATTTTGTTGTTATTTTTTCTTTGTTTAATACATGTGGCATAAGGGGTTTTTAGGACAACGGACTACAAGGGCGTACGCAGGTTGGGCAGGGGGGACTTTGCTCCCCCTAGAAAGAATTTCGCATTATGAATTCCACCAGCACCATATGTATTACATACGTACATACATATGTACATACGTCTGTATGTATAGTATGTACATATGTATGTATCAATAAGTATATATGTACGTTCATACATTCCTATATACATATATAGGTTTGTATGTATGCAGAGTGCCATCGAACACTGTTGTTTAATTGTATTAAATAGTGTTCTATGGTTTCAAATCAAAATTTTTAAGACAACAACAAGAACTTCAAGTTATTGGCTCGCAAATCTTCTTTCGTTTTGATCATTTACGTCTGTTCATCGCATACGCAAAATGCCAAAAGTATACAATTACAGTACACATACAAATACATTTGTATGCATGCATACGGTATTATAATCAATAACTCTCAAACGATGTTTTTCGATGTATTTGTATTCGACATGTATTACGATATATCAACACAAGTATCGATATTTTCGATATATCGCATTTAATTTTATTATTGGGGTTTTAATATTTATTAACTTTTTGAAATGAATGGTTTGTGTTATAAATTTTGTCCGATCGATTTCAAATTTGGGTAATGTAATCAACATAACTATATCAACAAATTGGCATTCAACGATTAAAATATAGCAATATGTTTTCTACTTGCCATATATCAAATATCAAATAGTTGGGGACATCACATACACACTCACACATACATACAACAAGCAACAGTTCGTGTCTATGTGTGCCCATGCATACATACATATGTACAAGCATATGTATGTATGCCTGTATATGTATGTAGCATGTACATACAAAACAACAACAACAACTTCAAGTTATTGGCTCGCTCTTCTTCTTTCGTTGTGACCATTTAATGTTAATTGCAAAGGCAAAACGCCAAAAGTTAACAGTTACCGTCGCTAGGCAACGACTGCGTAAGCGATAGTAAAGCAGAAACCGAATAACGGAGCTACGCATAATCTGCTTCGCATTGCGGGCAGATGTATGTATGTATGTATATGATTTGTTTTTATTGATGTCGTTTAACGAAATAGTTTGGCAAGAACAAAAATGTAACGGACTACTGAACACTGACAATTTTTTGTCAAGAACAGAAAATGTTCATTTAAATACCTTAAATGCCTTCCTATTGGTAACTTATAAGGTGAAAACATATGGGTAGGTTATGCACACACAAAATAAATACAATTGGATACATTATATTGAGCCGGGTTAAGACGGGCAATACCTGCTAGTACATACATATGTCCAGGTACACAAACACGCATAGACTGGCATGTATGGAATATTTTATATTTAATTTAGTTAATTAATTAAATGAATTTAATTTAATTTATTTTGTTTAATAGTTTTATTAAAAACCAAAATTTTAATAGTAACTTATATTTATTTAACATCACAAAGTAAAGCAACACCCCTTAAAATCCAATGGTCTGGAGGCTTATTCGATTGTAGCCACAGAGGACATATATAATTTAGATCTGTGCGGTTTATTTTTTTGTATACTGGGCAAGTATATAATTTTGAATTTTTGGCTGCGGTTGAGTAAATTGCATATATATGCACTACAGGCATTAGCGTAAAAAGTACTTTATTTGTGGCCTCTACAAGGCGTGAGGTCCTTTTATCCCAACCTGCACCATCCACAAATAATCCATAAACAAACACTCCTTCTTTTGGTGGTTTTTTGCATTCCTCCATTCCAACTTTAAGGACGTCATTGTGCATGGTGACCTGATCTAAAGCCCAGCCCTGATGCGCTCTAGCCACTTCTTGACGCATGGCTGTTAAAAAGCCTTGAGGATTAAAAAAACCAGACATCCAAAAAACTACTGGTCGGGACCCAAAGCACCAATTGTAAAATTGATTATATCGTTCAATCAGCTCTGTAAACCAAAATCCTAAGGTAGATGATACCCAGCTGCCACGTTTGAAAACAGTCGGTACTCTTGCATTAAAAATATTATCCAGAGCGTCACGCAAATTTTCGCTCATGATAATTGTTCCCTCAACGGCCAACAAAAGGTCCTTAAATGTGGTACGGACAAGTACAATTATCTGAAAAAAATATATATTGCGTAAGTTTCTTATTATCTTATTATTGCTTATGTATAATTTACGCGTTGCATTCGGTCAATCTCTTGTCGTAGAAATATATTCATAGAATTAGTTGCTCCCATTGCTATAAGGTGCTGCTTCACATCAAACAAATCAAATGGAGCTGGTGTCTTAGCCAACATTTCTCGCACCTGGCGAGCGACACGTTCCTCACGCGATTCTCCAGTACCCGCCGATGATTCTATAAATAGTTTTAACGTAATTTGATAACTATTTTAACAGTATAAATCACACATACCCTTTGGCTGAATAGACATAATTTCGTCCAATATATTTCGCATTGTATTTGTTTGATAGGTTATCTCAGCATTAGAATGAAATCCATATACTTGAGGTGGATCTACATTTGGCATTTGGTCTATTGCCAATAAATAAACTTCTTGTTCCTTGAAACTATAAACCTTATATCCCTTGAAAAATTTAAAGGTTTCATCAAATAATGTGTCATGGAACCATACACGAGCAAAAGTGTTTAGTAACCGCTTATCATAATCATCTGTGACTCGACCACCATACTGCACTTCGCCGAGCATGTAACGTACTGTTACCCAACTGATACATTTTCCTTGCTCTAGATCATCCAAGTGGTTTTGAACAAATAAACAACTTGCATACCAATCTGATGAATTGAATTCATATGGTATGTTCCATCCAAGCGGACCAAACTTACGTCGCTCCTGTACAACTGTATGCAAGAATGATATAGCATATACTAAAGGTAAGTAATAGGGTGACTGTGAGTAGTCTAGGAAGTCTTGTGATAAATTGGTATATGTACGCTTTAGCCCAGCTCGTATCCCGGCCGGAGGCTCATTGGTATACTTAAGTGACATTTGCAGTAGAGTTATAGGAAACTTAGGATGTGGCTCTGTGGTAATCCATATTCTGAACGTTGGACTTATGATTGCGTCTTTGCCACGGCGTTCCAATTCCAAAATCTGTAATGTTAGCTCTACCATATACTCTAAGCCCAAATGACAGTTTTGCAACAAAACCCATCCACCACTTTCTAAGCAGGCAGATATCAACTTTCGGGCATGTATTTCTTGACCTTGTCCCATTGAAATTGGGTGACACTTAAGTTCGTTTTTTTTAGCAAGCAATTCAATATTTGAGGATGGATCCGAACCAAGAGACAAAAAACAGATCAAAGGAATTAGCTCACGGCTCTCTAACAAAAGTTCTTCAAAATTTAAAACAACGGGCTCAGCAAATCGATCCCCTAAGGAATTTGCAATATACTTTCGACTTTGCGCAATTGTGCGGTCCATGCACCACGAACGTATAAGTAACATCTTGCGAAATGGATCCAGTGAGTTATAACCATCTGGTATTATTTCATTCTCTGGAGCATCCTTTTTATACCAAGTAAACCATGCTCTTTCATTCCCACCAACTTTAGTTAGTATATTGACGAACGGAGATAAATTAGTTAGCTGTACAAGATTCAGCCAAGTTTCATCTGTTACCCATCGATATGGAACAGGTGGACAGTCATTAAGATTTAATGCTGCACCACCTTTTATAAAAATCTGAAACTCATCAAATGTTATCAGCTCCAACTGACGATCAATGCTCAAGGCCATTAAAAGTACAAGCAAAAACTTGTCCTTTTCGTAAAGTCCACGAGACTTATAGCGATATATTTCGAAAGTCAAATAATTTATTATTCTTCTGATGCGCTTCTGTGTGATATGAGTTTTTGCGGAGTTATGCATGGATGCATCAAAACGCTCCAAGAATTGTACTAATGATGTCTGGTACATATTATTTACCATAGCCATACTGCAGACTAGAAAATATAATACACTCCCCCGAGTTGCCACAAGACGGTACTCTTCACGAGCAGCATTAATTTTAGCTTCAGTTACTTTGGCAATCTCAATTTTTTCTTTAACCTCAATTGCAGTATTCTTGCTTGTATTAAGAACATCTATTACTGTAACATCATCTAATAAGCTTCCCTTTGTTGTAGATAACTTATGCAGAAGATTTGCTTCAAGTTCTTTCATTTTTTTCATATTTCCTGTTACAGTCTCCACCAGTTGCACTCGCTCATCCTCCAACTCCTTTCGTTCTGTGAGTATGACACGGCCCAGCAATTGGTCTTCAAGCCCACGCATTGTCACAGTAAAATCTATTATAGAGGTGCGAGCAAATATTTCTGGGGTATATGCTGGATTTGGCAACTTTGTGGTTATATAACATCTAAATGCTGGATT